ATATATTTTAATCTATGATAATACTGTATAACTTGTATAAGCAATGAATAGACAAGCTTCATAGTTCATAGTTAGTACCTATATTATACCACAATGTAAAGAAGATATCTTCTATATGTTAATAATAAATCTATGTTACTATCTATATTTGTATAGTTTGTAAAAATTAGTACTCAAATCAGAGTATAATTTATAAGACATAACACTCATAACTATAGTCTGCAATATGGCAAATAAACATAATATACTTTAAAATGTTTTATGCATATAAATACCGTAGGGTTCTAATATTTTAACATACAAAAAAGTGAGTTACTATAGTAAAGCTTCCGGTGGGTAACTCAAATTACATTAGATATTATAATTTTATATTCTCATTTCTAGCCAAAATATTTAGTTATTGAAATTTAATTTTCAATAATAATAATTATTATTGAGTTATTTATGATCATTTACGGCTTTATAATAATTATATGGGTATGTTGTGTCATGTATTATTATTTAAACGAAATCTCATTACYGTAGACTGTGTTTAATCATTGGTTTTAACTTTTTAAGAATACGTTTATTGATTTGTTGGTTATTATGTTTGATTATTTTGCGATTCATGGTTCACATAGTGCTTCTTAAACTTTTTTTGGCATTCCTAAAAACGACGAAATAAAAAAACTTTGGGAGGATCAGACGGGGCTTTGTGAACTGGCCAATGGCCATACATTGATGGATCATTATAGTTATTTGGGCGTTGTTTCTTTGTTAGTTTATCCTAAATTTTAAGTTTCCCAGGATTGATATTTACATTTATAAATGCTGACATAGTGATATTCTTTTCATTTCATAATTTGATTAAAATATTTTGAATAATAAATGGTAACACGAAAATACAAAATGAAATTTTCATTAAATATTTATYAACACCTAGATAGCGCTATAAGGTAATTTTTAACAAATTTTTGATAAATACAATTTGTGATCCGAAAATAATGTCTCGTTGTCCAACTATTCTATTTAAAGCCGTTATCTAACCTTACATAGTTTTTTTTWAATCTTAATCGCTATTCGCATATTGATAATTTAAGATTATATTATATTATTATTATTTATGGTTCTGAAAAATGAAAAATTTAAATACTTAACTATTCAGCAATTACTATAGTAAGTTAGTATTTAGTTATTATTTGGTATTGCCGGTATAAATTAATCATGATTCATAGTAATACTAGGTATAAACACGTATTGTATATTAATTTTCCATTCTCATAAATKACAATGTTCAATGGTTGAGGATTTAGTAGAAATAGCAAAAAAACATAAATAGGATATTCATTCGACAGTAAAAGGTAAAAAATATTTCTATAATTAGTAGGTACATTATATTATATACATTATATTCTAGAATTTCATTGAATTGTTCAATTTATACTCAACAGTCAACAGCGCAGTTAAAATAATTAAGAATTGAACCAAAATAATAAAATATTATTATATTAAATTTTAATATATTATTATTATTATAAATAAATAATAGTATTATTCAGTCACAACAATTTAATTAATAATATCTACAAAAAATATTTCAAAAAAAGTTTAAAAATATATAATTATAAGTTAGATTCATATATATTATTCATTTTCAAATAAAATTAGTTTTGTAAACTTTATTCTGACCTAAGCATCTTAGTACAAACTTGAAAGTCAAAATTAAGTTAATMAACATAAGGAAAACCAAAAAATAATACCTAAAAGGCAAATATAAATAAAAAGTATATTATTGAAAGATTCAAGACAAACAGTTGAAAATTTGAAACCAGAAGGATAACAATAATATACTATTACTATTGTGACAATATGCAGTGTATTGATAAGTCGTAGGAACAAGTAAAATAAAAAATTATTTCACAATCTCATAGTTCTTGTACGGTGTACTACCTTAATCAGCGCCAMMTCACACTTGGACACCGGAGCTACAACCATGTTCCGTCTATTAGTATAAACTATGTACACAAAACACAATCATGTACGTCATAATATTATATCATTACATATTAATRCATCAAATATTGAATTTATTATTTAATGTTTAAAAATACTGAATTAATTCTTTATAGTATGGAAGAACTTCATTTTTATATAATTTATGATCTTCCCCATGTGTGACTTTTAAGATAGACATTCCCTTTTTCAAGTACTTTACAGCTGATTCAGAATTTTCAACAATGGAAGACAATTTAAACAATTTCATGTACAAAACTCCTAAAGAAGGGTGCCATTCATTATAATAAACCCTGAAAATATTAATATTAAAACATAAATAATTAATATGAAAACAATTTTTTTTTWAAATGTTTTTAAACTATTAGTTAATAATGGATTTTAATAAAAAGAAAAAGCAATTAATAAAACAAAATTATCATTCCATAATATTCCGACCATAGCCATTTGGAATACATAATTTGATTCATCATTCATTTTTCCTAAAGAAAGTTGATATAATGGTGTTACTTTTTCATATGACCAACAAATTGCTTTTGTAATTTAAAAATCATAAAATATAAATAATAATTGGTTTAGTAGGTATTGTTAATTTGGATAAATTATGAACATCCATTGTTTTTGGCTTTGTAATTGTTGAAATAACTTTTTACCTATATCCATCGATCAAAAGAATTCCATATTTCAAACTCTCTTTCCATTGCTCCATTTTTATGGCACTTTCAAAAGCTAAATCCAATATTTTAACATGGTTAATGTTGTTTGGATGAAAGATACCATTTTGTTTCTCCAGACACATTTTACAAACATCAAGATCTAAAAAAGTTAATGGAATATTTTTACACTTTTCTTATACAAACAACTTACATAAAATGAGTACATTAGGATCTATAAAAAGGATACAACCAATATCTTTCATTCTACTTAATTGGAACTCTGTGAAATCAGTCACATCGTAAAAGGTTTTAATTTTATCTTCACTGATTTTTTTCAAACATTTTGAACAACTAATTGAATCCAAAACCTGAAAATTATTTTGTATGTAAAGTTTTTATCTTTTATTTATTTTTACATAAGTTTAAAGTTTAGATTAAAACACACCTCATCTTGTTTGCTTTTCATAGGAACTGCAGCTTGACAATCAGAATTTTCACAGAGCATTGAGTTTACAAAATTTTGCTCATAATTTGTAACACAACGTAAGCATTCACATAAGAAATAATAGTTATTTTGTAATTCACTTCGTCTTTCTGATGTAGTTTGCATGAGTTCCAAATATGATATAAATACATGCTAAGAAATTGTTTAATATTTATAGTTAACTAATCACAAATAATATAGATTTGTATTATTGGTTACCAATTCTGGATCAGAATATTCAATATCCATAATAGCACCAATTCTCAATGTACTACCATCAAATGTTGCAGTTGCATTAGGTACACATGAATGATTTATTACTGAAGCTGCTAAATATATTCCAGTTCCTATGGTGTTTAAATTATCATCCAATATATTAAATGCATTAATGCACATCTACAAAAAAAAAAAACAGTCTACGATTATTTAAAAATTTTAAATCAAAATACATTTAAAAATTCCTATCTTTAAAACAAGCTACTACTATATTTACAAAAATACAAAATAATTACAGAATAAATAAAAATCATAAAAATAATTAGTTAAAACATATTCAAATCTTAAACAGCCAAAAAATGTGAAATTATGATATATTTATAAATTTATGATTTAATGAAGTATGAAAAGTAGCTATATACTGTATAGTTCTTACTTGGCGGTAGCAAGTAAAATACATACAAAATATATATTTATAGCCAGTGTTTTTTTAAACATTTTAAACATATAATTACTTATCACATTGACATACATACCTATTATGTTATTCCTGGAATTAATGTAGACATTTTATATTATTCTACTCACCCGGCCATAAATTCCAAGTAATTCAACAGCGTTAGGAAGATTAACTTCACCCATGTATTCTTTTAACACTTCACATAGTGTAGAGAAATGTTCTAATCGATGGGTGTCATCCTTTAAATCTGGATAATCTAAAATAATATACCTTAGTGAGTTAGGTATATATTTTAATTAAAATACTATATAAATAAATAATATTACGTGACATGAGATCCTTGAATGTTCTAGAACGATTAGATGTGTAATAACCTTTTTCTGTACTTCCTCCATTCTACATAATATATTATATTATAACACAGATATGTATGAATACTGTATGTACTCATTATATATATATACAATTTTTGAACATGTATTACAACCTTAAGCTTAATTAGTATTTTTGACATAATCCGTGCTGCATCTGGTAGTATTTTAGGATGAATTTTTTTCATTCTAGCACATTCTCGCTTATGCTCAGTCCAGGAAAGCTTCTGGCAAGTACGGTTACAATAAAGGATGTATTGACATCCTGAACATCTAGACAGGTTATCCCTAAAATTCAAACATAAGTGATTATTATAAATATATAAATATGCTATAATAAATTATATGAGTACCTATAATAAAACATAGGTCAATGCATAATCAGTATAAGTTAATGTGATCAGATAGGGTAGTATACACAAGAAGGATTGTCTTGTTTTTTAGTAAAATGTTGTCCTGCATAAGCGTGCGCACGGGGGAGGCAGGGGAGGCGGTTGCCTCCCCTGCGAGATTTTCCTCTACACCAAAATATTATATTATATCTAYCAATTGGTGAAAATCGGGTGGGGGGATTGGAGTCTGGACCTCCTTAGCTAAAGTATTGCCTCCCCTTTATACCCAATTTTAAATTTATATTTTTCATAACTTTTAGTTATATTACTCTAAGTTCAAACATAATAAAATGGTAAACAAAAACTCAACACTATCAAAATTGTTTTTAAAATAAAACAGTATTTTTATTTTTTATTTTTGGTTTACTTCTGTTATCTATATATAATAGGTTTACATACTACATACATGCATATATTATACGTCCAAGCTATAGCTTAAAAATGAGTTAATAATTAACATGTTCAATAGAAAATTATAGGTATACATTTTTAAAAATTGAAAACTGCAGATAGGTATTAAATACAATTTATTTTTATTTGGAGGGTAGATAATATGGGAGAAGTAGAAAAAGATATTTTAAACATTTTTCATGTAGGTATTTTTATTTTGAAAACTTCAGCACCCTAGAATAAGGTAATATACTTACTCGGAGTAGCAATAATCACATTTTTCGTTTTTGAATGTAGACTTTAGAGCGTGAACAAACGGTTTATCGATTAAAATTGTGTCTCCTCTTCTATAGCCTTTTCTTTTTTTGTCCATAGTCGATCGGTCGGCGTACGCCAAGGGCTGCGATTACCTACTAATCAAATAATAATAATATTGCAATCCAAATGTCAAGATCGAATATACAAAAACTATAATAATGTTCAAAGTGTACAATGTAACCGTCCGTTTTGGGCAACTTGTCAATGCACCTCGTCGACTCTGTGGTAATATCTATGACTAAAATAATAGAATATATTGCTATATTGCACAGCCGCACACCGGACGAGGCGACGACGTCCGCAACTCCGACGTCCCCGTACGAAAATAAATATGGATATATAATTAAATTATTTATATATAGGTACACGCAACGTGATGAGTGAGTGATGATGATGATATGATAATAATAATAATAATAATAATAATCTAATGTTCGGATCGAAACCGTGGTTTCCTAAAATGCCGAAATCCGAAAGGCGGCTGTGTACCTACCGGCCGATAATAAATTAGRGCATTTTATTTCAGATAGATACCCAAGTAAACACCRATTAACATGTATTAAGTTCCATAACCTATAACGTGTCCCGCCCTTTTTCTTCCGCGATTCAAGAGCAACCACTGTCGAATGAATCTCATATTTTTCTTTCGCAATAATATTACATTACCTGTTATTATTACTGCTCTGATTTCCTATTAAGTGCATAATAATATTATATAGTATTGCGTATTATGTCCGCGGCGTAYGTCAACAATTGTAAACTTTTAAAAAGTATATGTTTGAACGTTTCTGGTGCTATCGGCAGGAGAAAAATGAGCATTATCTTTAACGACATCGGTTCGCATTCGTATGACGTAAGAAACACAATTTTTACTCCATTTATATATATTTTATATTTGTATTATAAATATGTACTGCAGTTGTGGGTACTGGGTAGCATGTGATATTTTAGTAGCAAGTAGTTTAAACATATTGTGTTATATTGTATTTCTTGTATATTTGGACGTATTCACTCAAGGCACACAATCTCGTGATATATAATATATATATCATACATGGCATCATTAATATGATTATTGATTGCTCAAATGATAAGTGTGACACACTGACACCTGTTGGAAACGTTCCTCTATAGCCAAAATGTCCTTGTGTACATAATAATAATATTTTATCAATATTTTTTTATTTGCGTAGCTGTTCGTTCAAAGAGACCAAGAATAGAGATGATGAGTATCTATTATTTTCAAATGCAGTGATATAATAATAATAATATAGCTTTTAAGTATCCAGTACTTATTGTAACTTGTTAAAATAAAAAAATCTTTAGTTTATTTTATTATTTGTACCTATTATTACAAATTTTTAAAACTGGTTATTGCATAAATTTCTAAATTTTTCAAACACTTGAATTTGGATTTGTTTATACCATTATTTTCAATAATAAAAAAAGTTATTTCATACATTTTTATTAAAACAAATTAATATTTTGTTCAAATACAAAAAAAAAAAAAATGTAATAGTTACAAAATGGTACTCCCTTAACAAATAGATAATATTTAGAAATATAGGTATGTAATGTATTTGTTTTATGAGCTGTATTAAAAATTTACAGATATGTATATTTATTATGAATAATATCTTAGTATATTATAAATAGAAGCAATTCAATGGTTTAAATTTAATTTTGGTTCATGAATTATTAGTTGAGTTGGATACATGTTGTATGGATTTTAAGCTAACAGGAAATTTGAACTTTAATATGGCAGGAAAAATAGAGGCATACAAATATCTAAGTTTATCAGAGTTATTTATTTTTGTATTTGAATAATAGTGTTTTTTTATAGAATTATTGGAAGTGCTAGTAAAATATAAAGCTATTATTTTTGAATTAATTGTATGGATGTTTGTTAAACTCTCCAAAATTATATACCATATAATTATGTACCTGGTTATATTGAAAATATTAAATGAATCGCTTAGATTTAAGCGATCGACTAAGCAAATATCAAATAACTATATCAAGCAGTGGAGTGACGAGGACTATATTTGAGGCACATGTCTCAGTTTGAGGGGTGGTGGGTGTCCTCAAAGATCATATGATGTGTTAAAAAAAACATTATTATTTAAATGAATAAATATGTCTTATCTTGAAAAATTTTTTTAATGTTTTTTGTGATGGGTGGGGTGGGTGGTGGGTCTGACAATATAACTGTGCCTCATAACTTAATAATGTTCGCCACGCCACTGATATCAAGTATGGTTTAAACAGTTAATTAAATATTATATAATTAAAATTAAAAATTCTTATAGGATTCAGTCAAAATGTTGAATTCTTTGCAAAGTCTTACTTCTAAGTTAACTCGTCATCCAGGAAATTTGAAATTAAGACAGGTGAACACATTTTTAAATAGGTAACTATAGTTAAAACTATTAAAATGTTTAAGAACAATTTAATAGATTTACTCTTGGTGTTGGTAGCTAATATAAATTGTTCTGAAGGCTATAAATGAAAATAGATGCGGTTTGAGTAATGAAGATTTGGACAAACTTTCAGTCATTCATGTTGCTGGAACAAAAGGTAAAGGATCCACATGTGTATTTTGTGAACAATTGTTGCTATATAAAGGTTATCGCACTGGCTTATTTACTTCACCACATTTAATCTCTGTCAAGGAAAGATTTAGAATTAATGGAAAAGTCATTACTGATGAAAAGTTTGTGTTTTATTTTTGGAGTGTCTACAATACACTATTATCTAAACGTGTAAGTTATTATTTATTTTGTCTAAAAAACTATTTATGTACTGTATGTTAGTAAAGTAAATTTAATCTAAATTTTCAGCATAAAACTTAACTAAATTATATCTCACTAATTCATTTTAAAAACATTATTTCAACAACATGTTGAGAAGAATAATTGTTTTTATTATTTTATGAATTAATACTTCTTATTATTTTAGGGTAACGAAGAAGAATTACCTGCCTATTTCATGTTTCTGACAGTTATGGCATTTAAAATGTTTGTCGATGAAAAAGTAGATGTTGCTATCATAGAAACCGGAATTGGGGGCGAATATGACTCTACTAATATATTAAGGTATGTTTCATTTTTCCTTAAATATAATTTTTCGAAAAATAATACTTGAATAATTATAGAAAAACATCAATTGTTGGAATTTCATCACTAGGATTTGATCACACAACAGTACTAGGAAATACTTTACAAGAAATTGCTTGGCAAAAAAGTGGAATTATGAAGCCAAATTCTGTAACAATTGTTGCTAGTGATCAACCTAAAGAAACCCATCAAATATTAATTGAACGTAGTGTAGAAAAACAGGCAAGTAAATAATATCAATTATTTATAGTAATTTTATTTATTCAAATTAACTAATATTTTATTAGATTTATTGCCAATAACAATCTGATATAATGTTTATATGTACTTGCTATAATTTTAGACAACGTTATTGGAAGCTCCATCATTTAACAAGTATAATTGGAATGAAAATACTTCAGAATTAGGAGTTCTAAATACAGCACAAGAGATAAATGCTTCACTTGCTATTCAACTTTCTAATGCGTGGATCAATCGTAACAATAAATATGGTTAGTATTTACATATTTTGTATATAATATGTCAACATTATTTACTGTTAGGGTTTTTTTAATAATGGTTAAATTTGTTTGACTTAGAAAGTAGATGACTAGATGACTATAGTGTATCAGAAAAAATGTATCYCTTCTAAAAAAAAAAAACTTAATAATATTATTATATTATAATTGGAATACATTGAGTTAGCTTTTGTTTTTGTTTGTTTTACATTCATGTAAATTATTTAATTACCAATAAATTTTAAAATTTTAAAATTTTAAAATTATTAATCATTATATTGTAAAAATAATTATTTGATTTGTGATTACGAATAGTTTGATGAAAAAAAAAATTATGATAACTATTTTAAATTTGTTCTAGATTGGATAAAAAAATGCCATGTTGGACTTAGTGGAATGAAACAAGCTCCAATTTGGGAAATTAACAAACTAGATAAACAAGCATTAAGGAATGTTAAATGGCTTGGCCGCAATCAAGTTTTAAACATAACACCCAATTTATCATATTTCTTGGATGGAGCTCATACAATTGAGAGTATTMAGTTATGCAGTAAATGGTACCAAAATGTTTGTCCTAAGTCACAATTGTAAGTTAAAAAACGGGTAAAATAAAATATCCCAAAATATGTAATGAGAATCATATTTTAGGGGGAAAATATATTGTAAGAAAAATTTTTTTCCCAAACTGCGTTTAATCACAAAAATTATACATTAGAACCGTATTTTGGCTAAATATATGTACCAAATGTAAAACAGAAAATATATTCTACAAAACATATTTTATCCAAAAATTATCTTAACTAAAAGATTTTAACCAAAACCTAAGTTAATTTTCATAATATAATTTATGTATTGAGAACATTATTTTCTGCTGCACCATTTACTGACGTATATATTAATTTTGTATTGAATATTTTTGGATATTTTGTAAGTTAAATACTACTTGTTATATTTAAATAAATTTTTATTTTTTTATTTCTTTTGTTCAGGGGTGTTCGAAATATTTTAATATTCAATGTGACGGCGTTCAGAGATTATAGTACATTTTTAAAAATACTATTAACTGAAAACAAAATAGATTTAGTTTTGTTATGTCCAATTATTACATCAATTGATAACCACCGTCCAGGTAACCACCATTAATCATAATTCATAATATTTATAATGCATTGTTATAATAATTAACTATTAAAGTTTGCTAATAAAAGTATGATGGTTTAGAAATAAACTAAAATGGAATATTTTTTTTTTACTAATCATATATTATTTTAAAGCTTTCTACCTAAAATGATATCAATTAAATTTGCTTATCTGGTCAATAGCTTAGCTTAGTGATGCTGTCAGCTCCGACTACTAATTTAACTTTATTCTTATTCAGTCGATACTCTAGATACTCTTGTTGCTGGGTCCAGAAACTATTACTAAATATTCAATGAACGAATAATGCACAATTGATTAAATTAATAAATTGTTTTTGTAAACCATTATGAGTCTTTCAGTAGAAATTAAAAATTTTTTTTGTATAGTTTATTCATTCAAAAGACACATGGGTATATTAAAATTTAAAACTATGAATAATTTGATGACTCACTTATATTTTTGTTTTTATTATTATCATTATTTTTTTTCAGATACGGTTGATTTGAATTTTAATTATGATGAGCAATTGGTCAAATGTTATGATATGAAAAATGTTATAGATTTTTGTGATGTAAAAGTATTTAATTCTATCCAAGAAACTATCAAGTATGTTAAAATGTGCAGCTCTTCTGAAAAAGATACAAGCTTTCAAGTTTTAGTAACTGGCTCATTAAAACTTGTTGGTGGAGTTTTAGAGGTCCTCCAATTATGACATTTATTTTATAAATAAACCAATTCCATAGGATTAGTTATTATAAATTACAAAATTTAATCTTTCTCTGTTTAGTGTTACACTGTATGTTGAATTATATTTTGAACAAAAAATTGGTACTTTTCAGTTAATTTAGGCATCAGCAGTACTATTGAATTATATATGGAATATTCAAATATTTACTACTCCAAAAGATTTTGATATACAATTATGTGTAAATTAATTTGAAAATCAATAACAATTTTTTTTAAACTTATTTTTGTAAATCATAATAAATAAAGGCCATAATAAATTGCATTTAAATCTATGCACTAAATCACTCACTAATGTTATTGATTTTTATAATTATTTTACTATTACTTTTGCAGTTTTTGGATATTAGCTCTATCTTTTTGTATTGTATTTTCCTCTTGCTTTGTAAAATGTATGTACCTTATAATTTTATATATGATTTCTGATTATTAATGTTTAAATATATTTTAACTATTAGTTACCATTAAAAATAATGTTGATCACAGTTATTGTATTTTAATATTTAATATATATATTTAAATATTATATGATTCTACAAACAGTAACTTATAATTGATGTACACAATACCTAAGTTGTAAATAACATTTTTAACACAACTTAAACATCATGATCATGCCAATTTTCAATCAACAAAAAATTACTTGCAAGTAAAAAGCCAAAAGCTCATAATACACATTTAGTTTCAATATTGATTAAAGTAATGAAAATCCTAAGCTAGAACAAAATGAAAGAATAAAATTTAAATTATCACTTTTGGGAAAGAAAGAATGTTTGTAAAGTATCAAGTAGCTCTATTATTTTGTTAAAATATTATTATTTATTGATTGAAAATTAGTATTTACAACATCCAAAACATGTTAATATTAAAGTATTTACTAATTTATGCGGTTGATTAATTGTAATTTAGTAACCATAATATAACAATTGATAAATACTTCACCACACCAACCTAGCCACAATTTTTCCAAAATATATACAACTTGAGTAACTAACATCACCTACAACTCTATGTCATAATTCCCTACAGGGATGTAGAGCAATTAATTCTCTAAGAGTGTAAAATAATCCATTAGATGATTCTGGTTATATTTGTTTAATTCACATGTTACAAGTTACTGACTTACAAATGGTGTGTCTGTATATTAAAATGAATGAATGAAATTTAAATAAATCAAATGCAATCGCATATCAACAAAAATTKAATAAAAAAACTRTTAATATTCAAACAAATAGGTGGATGTAGTTGAACTAAACAAAAATAAAAAAGGAAAATTTAAGGTCAAATAGTTTTATACATACAAGTTTACATTTAGTGAAAAGATACATTTATATGTATTTTAACATTCGTCTTCTTTAGGTTCATCATTTTTGTTCTCAGGCTTATACAGTTGATGTGTTTTTTTATTCCCAATACAACTGGCACATTCATCATCACCACTTTCGTTGCTTTCATCTGTATCGGGCTCACCAAATTTTTTTGGTTTTTTGTAAATACAACAGCATTTGCTCTTTTTCTTGTTCAAGTGTTCATTGTCAACAGTGTGTGCATCCCAACTAACCTGTTTATGACTTTTTTTTGGTTTCTTCAATTTTAAATGTACTACTTGACCATCATTTGTTTGTGGGCGTAACACCAATGTTGTACTACTATGGAATGGTATATTAGCTTCTTCCATTTAATTTAGTTATTTAAGCTACAAACTATTATAAGATTAGTTGATAAATTTTATTTGTAACTATATATCAATACAACCATCAATTGTATGACACAACTAGGTAATTAAATATGATAATTGACTATGAACAATGAAGTATGAAGTTTTAAAAACATTTGCTCAATGCATAATAAAGTAATAAACAAGACGGAAAGTTCAGAGATTAAAATATCTAATAATTATTACTGAATAAATGAATAGATATTTATCTGATCATTGTTTTTATGCTCGGTTTTATTGTTTTGTAGATAATATATCAGCTTCTAAGACCATGGTTTATGTAAACAAAAATCGGACGTTACAAAAATCATGTTATCATTATTCGTCAACTTGGCATTTTCCACTAGTCTACTAACTAACTATACCACGATGGCTTAAGATTATCTTAAGCCATGGTCTATTATACACGACACTGGAATGGATGATCTATAGACTATATACAGTACAGTAAAGTTGAGTCARTATGCAAAGTCCAGTGGTTTCCAAACTATGTATCGCGATCTACACATAGAAAATGTTCTATGGTCTACGGCTCCTTATAAATAATTTAAAATGTACAGAATTTGTTTCCCTTATTATATTTATGAAATCTTTACAGCGTATTATATTGTAATATTTTCTATTTAATAGAATATTTCGAATAGACAATATAATAATATATTATTATATTGTATATTTGAAATTTGAATTACATATTAACTAAATTCGTAAACGTAATTTTCGACATCATTATTTGCAACATAGATAAGAATTAAGAATATTACCACACGTACTTTGGTCTATGGTGGTATGAGTGGAAAACGCTACCAAACCGTTATCACCATTTACAATAATATAATGAAACTATAAAAGTCTAAAACCCTAGTTTATATCATTATTCGACATTTTCAACCATTCAACCAGCAACATTTTGTAGATAACAATTTTTTGCCATTGCGAATTGCTACTAACAGTACTAACTGTGGACACCGTAACCCGTTTACCCGTTGGCAATTATAGTTTCTTACTTTTCTAAATTCTTGAATTATTATTTTTTCTTGAAATCAGAAATCAAACGTTTTATTTTTATTTGTACAATTTAAGCACGTTAATACATTTTCTTTCGAACTCCTACATTCAATCGATTTGATTATTGCACTGCAATATAATAATTAATAACGATTGTTTTTTATTGATTAAACTGTTACATAATGGCAGTATCGGCAGCTGCTGCGTTACTTGATGAACTCATGGGGAGAAATCGAAATGATGGTCCGAACGCTCAAAAGAAACCCGTACATTGGGAAGATCCTGAGGTAAATTATTTTGGTTAACTACGATTTGTTGCTATGTCAACAAAAACCTTTTTTTTTATTGAACATTTATTCAAATTATGCATTTATTTAATAAAATTATAATAATTAAGTGATTTTCTTATGATAAAATAATATTGTAAGTTGTAATAATTTTTTATAAATTTTGAGCCTAGTAATAGGTTATCTTCAGTTATTTTGACAAACTTGACATTTCTTCCTAAAGCATTTTAAATTTCAGATACTCTGCTCCTAATAATTATTTATCTATTTAACTATTAAAAATAGGAATAGGACAAACTTCAGTTTTTACAAATTTAAATCAAAACTATCTTATTTGAAGTTTTGAATATTTAAAAATTTAACCATACCAAATTATAAAACATTTCATGCTTATTATGTATGCTTGAACTATTGAAATTGTTTAAATTTTCAAATTCACATTTAATCGTCTTCAAAGTTTGAACTGTTTGAATTTTTCTAAGGTTTGAGAGTTTGAGACCTTTTTCTAAATTAAAATGCTGGATTAGAGTTAATTATCTGATTTTCATGTGTTACTCAAGGTAAATTATTAATTAGTGAGTGTGGGGTGATTCATAGAACTTATGAATCTCGAGTGAGGTTTTGCTTAAATTGTACTAAATACTTTTATTTTGGATAAATTATATTTAAATTTATTGTTTTTGATATCTGAATTATATTTTAGAATTTAATTTTTTTAGATTAATACAAAAAATCGCCATTTTAGATTTTTGTTACCTATTAGTTTAGAAATAAATTGTTTTCAGCCATATTTTTTAATAAGTAATTAAATTATCCTTTTAGTTAACACATAGGTAACAATTTATATTTATTTTATGCTTTATATATATATATTTTGTTTTCAGTTTTGTAAATACTTTATGGTTAAATTTTGTCCTCACGATCTTTTTGTTAATACTCGTGCTGATCTTGGAGCTTGCCCAAAAGTTCATTGCGAAGAAGCTAAAACTCAATATAATGAAGCTAGTAGCCGTTCCAAAATGCAGTATGAAGATGAATTTGTGGCATTTGCTACTAGTTTATTAAATGATGTTGAGCGCCGCATCGAAAAAGGAAAACAAAGGTTGGAGCTTATGAATAAAACTGAAACGGTTAGTATTCCAAATTTATTTTATGATTAATTAGGTAACATGCATTTTTTTTTATGTAAGTTCTTAAACAATATTAAAAATAACCTATTTACAGTCATTGTTTATAATAATAAACAGTAAAAAAATGAAATATATAATTTCATTGGCCTATAAAGTTGTTAGCGTATTCTATAGGTAATTAAAAAAAGGCAGATTGTGATCGGATGCTGTATTGTTGATCATGGATGCGGCGCTTACAGCCTTGAATCTTAAACACGTCAAAGGTTTTTGAGGTACATCATTAAATAATTCCCCCCCTTTATATTTTAATTATTAAAGTAATAACTAAGTTTAGATTTTAGCTTCAATTGTGTAAATATGTGGGTGATAAGTCTTCAATTTGTATTGTAATATGGTAGTGTGTTTTTAATATATATTATTGTTATACTTAAATAATTGTAATTATTATTTCTTCTGTGTTAGGTCATTCTTAGTTTCAAAACTTTTCTTTTTTACTGGATACCCTTATTTTATATGTATGTATGTATGTATGTATATATATATGTTGTTAAGCAATAAACATACTGAAAACTATGGGTAGATCAGAATTTGGTGGTCGGATATAGGTTTAAAAGTATAGCTCACTGAAAATGTAGGTTTTCATTTATACCTGGCTCTCAGTTAAATAAAATCAAAAACCACTTAGTTTGGCTCTTGAACTTCAAATAACTTTTAACTTCTAAACCAAGTCTAACCTCCAAATTCTAATTTTTTCATGTTTTCAGCATGCTTAGCTTCATACATTATAGCATAAAGAATAAAGGGTGTCCAGTAAACAAAAATATACCTTACATTCTTTTAAATTCTTCAAACTAAACAATTATAAAAATTATTTTATTGATTCTTAACATTTGAATGCATAATTTAATATAAACAAATGATCATGCCAATGACTAATGAGGAATGACAAATATTTTTATTAATAATATGTTATACATTTTTTTATAACAATTTACATAATATTTCAAAATCAATTTCTCAATTATCTTAAATATCCTATGAGAATTTAAGAAAATTATCGGCACTAGCTAATAATTAAATCAAAATATCTTAGTTATTATAAGAAGTGATTTTAGTTTGGTTACTGTAGGATTTTTATTATTGATCTAATATTGGTTATAATTTATTTATTATTACATGATTATAAATTTAGACTTATTATTATTAATAAATTTTATACAATAATAGCTTTGGGAAATATAATTTAATTAACATTAGTTAATAATAATATAATTAATTAACTTTTTGATTTAATGTTTTGTAGCCGGTGTCCCATTCTAATAGCCAAAGTCAGAAAAATCAAGAGCAAATTAAATTATTGTCAGAAAAAATTAATGGGTTAGTACAAGAAGCTGAACAAATGGGTATTCGTGGACATGTTGAAGAAGCTCAGGGACTGATGAAGCTTTGTGATCAATTAAAAGAAGAACGGGATACCCTAAGAAAGCAAAATGAGAGTATCCATTGGTCACAAGTAATTATTTTTGAAAGAATTAAATTATATGCTCAATATTTTATACTATGTAATTACATTTTCATTTAAGACTTATGAACTAGCTGCTGCTCAAGAAAAACAAATGGAGGTATGTGAAGTATGCGGAGCTTTTTTAATTGTTGGCGATGCGCAGTCCCGTATTGATGATCATTTGATGGGAAAACAACATATGGGTTATGCTCGATTAAAAAATGCTGTGAATGAAATACAAGAGCAAAGAAAAAAATATGTAGAAGAAAGAGAAAAACAACGCGAAGAAGAAAGGAAAAAACGCATGGACCGTACTAGGTATTTTATTTTTCCTCTTAAAATGCAGAACCTTAACTATATTTGAATTTTAATTTAATATAGGAGTAAATCTAAAGACGTAGATAGACATAGTCGTGATACTAATAATGACAAGAGATCTAAAAGCTCTCGAGACCGATCCCATCATCGAATTGATAGGTAATATAAGATCTGTTCAAAAGAAGAAAAAAAATTGTTTACTTCATTTAATCAAACTTTTATATAAATAAAAAATAATTTCATAGAAAATCTGAACGACACGAAAGAGATAGACGGAGAAGTAGAAGTCGCAGTGATCGTCATTCTTCTAATAGTCATAGGCATAGAGGTAATATTTTTTTAGATAGTTATTAGCTAAGATAAATGTATACCTTTAAATTTTTTAAATACAGGGCATAATGGCAACAGTCGTAGAGATCACTAGAATTTTATTCAAGACACATTTCAATTCAGGTAAATAYTTTTTATTTTATCGCGTTAAAGCATATTTGGAATTGATTTTTAAAAACGCGATGATATTGATGAGGTGTGTTATTTAAAACAAGAACGGGGTAAAGCTTATAAATATGTTAATTTTAAAATAAAAACAAAAGAAAAAATATCCATAAAAAATATTTGTTTGATAACAAATCCTGTTACAACTATGGTGTAAATTATCACATAGCAGAAGAAAATGGTCATATTGGGCGCTTTATTTCAAAAAAGTGCTTACTCATCATTCGAAAGTCTGCAGATCTTCAAAATTAACATGTGACTTTTTGTCAGGTATTTATATGAAACGAGGTATTTATAAAAAATAAAATATCTGAAGTAAATAAATACAGTGAATTGTGTTAATATATATAACAAAACCTATTTATGGGAAGTTTTATTCAATATTATGTTGCATTTTTTTACGGCAGATCTCAATATAAAGTTGTATACTTTAAATTAAATAATTAATTAGTTATTTTATCTATAAATCAAGTGTTATTCTATGTATTGGCAAAAATTTGCCCATGGTACCTACTTATGAATATTTATATAAACAATTTATAAATTTAAGAAATAATATTGCTATTTATCAAAATAATCGTAGGTATTTATTTTTTATCTATTACCTTTTTATTACTATATTTTTCTGCATAAAATTATTAATGAAATTATTATTAAATGAAAAAGTATTAGTTATATTGACCTTAAATATTAAGATCTTTATAATATAAACAAATATATATAACACAAGCATGATATACCGTTTTTTATTTGTATTGGGTTATATTTATGTATATTCTATTGATGGTATGTTTTTTACAATTAATAAAAATATGTATTCATTTGTTTGCAAATARATAATTTTTTATGAAAATAGTAAAATTATATGCTCTAAACATGATAATTATTAATTTATAAGGAAAATTGCTTTACATATTTTTACATACAAAATATTAACAATTTTTTTTTTTCTAGGTTCAAATATCTGATGCAGTATATAATGTTAAAATGTATAAACACAAAATACCATTCTAAAAAAAAAATTAAGTTTTCAGATAACAATTCAATTAAACAAATTATATTACTTATTTTAATATTTTATTTAATGAAATAAACAATTTTCAAAAAAAAAAAAAATGTTATTGTGCCTATAATTAAAAAACATAATTTACTAATTTACATAATGTTAAATTTGAACAATAAATACTTAATAAAATACATTATTTGTCAAATGTCAACTAAGTAATGATGTCAGGGCATCAAAAAACTTTGGTCGATCTTTAATTTGCATTTTTGCAATAGACGAATCAAAGTAATCCAATGAAACTTCAATATTCGTTTTGTTGGAAACTTGTTCAAATGCTTTTCCAAAAAAACTAAAACATTTAAATTATATTACACTTTAGATTGAAGACTATTTACATACTGTAATTTTTTTATTAATTAATAAATTTAAATTATAAATTAAGGTTTTTCTTTTATATTATCCTTTAATACATATGAATTGACGAATTTATTGTGATGCATAACATAGACTATTTACTATGTCTATGCACACAATTAACTATGGACAATCATCCTATTAATAAAATGCTATGTTAAACTTTTGTGAATGTTTTTGATTTACTGAGATCAAATTATCACATGGGTACTTTTGGTAGTTTTACAAATGTTATCAAAAATAATGACATCGTAAGTAATTACTAAAAATGAAAATATAATTTAACTGACCTTCTAGGCATTGACTCGCTGATAGGAGGGATACCAACTACTAAGCAAGTATCTTGATCTGAATCAAGAGTTGCTGAAGCAATTAATGGCAAACGAGTAGCTTTGATTTTTCGTGATGATGCTACTTGAGCTCTTAAAGCAAATGATGCTAACATAATTAAGCAGTGAGGATTGGAATAGTGCTGAGAATGCAATGTACCCTATGAACAAGTTTAATAATTTTAAAGAGAAATAAAATAATTGTGAAGTCAATTATCACAACACTGTAGTGTAACACCACAGACCAATGGAATAAATGGTAATACCTCTTGTACAATTAAATAGTAAAATGGTCCAGCCAAAATAACTTGTCTCATATCCAATGCTGCTTGGACATGCCTAAACATGTTGGACAAAATCCACTTGGCTTTTTCTATTCCTTGATCTAAAAAATCTTTTTTCGATCTAACAAAATTAAATTTATAATTATTTTTGATTTAGAAATACATTATCAATTTATTAATTGTGGTCTCTTACCTAGACAACGAATCCATTGTATTATAAAAACACTGTGTAGGTGAAGTTTCACGAGACTACAAGAATGAGAGGACAGAAAATGTACAATATAACAATTTAAGTGTAAAATGTAAATTATAAAAATTTAATCAACTTACATTGGTTTCTAATGTAGCTACCATTGAATAAACATAGTCAGCACATTGATATCTCGTTTTAAATCCTTGATGTAGCATAAACGAAGGATAAGTCATTTGCAATAAATTATGGGTATTGGAAATTTTTTCCATCATACCATAAAATTGTTTACGTAAACTCAAATCCATTGAATGGTACATTTGACGGCTTTCAGCTAAAGGTAACCTTAAATGTAATAAAATAATGTTGTAAGCCAGAATATACTTAAAAATAAAATTATTATGCGAACTGGGATGAAGGYGATCTGAAAATGCCTGAAAATCTGCTTCAAGGGATGTTATATATTTTAATAGAGTTGCCTATGCTACGAGAATACATTGGGCTTTAAGCTTAGAACTGACAACTATTATGATATCTTAATAATATTTACAATCAGAGAGATATCTTTGATGCCGCAAGATATTATCATTTGTCTGCTATGGTTGAATAATGTAGGAAGTCAAGCGAGTCACACTATTTGTGCCCCGTGGTTGCTAAAAGTGAGTATAAGTGATACACTATACACTTAAGTGTTCATACTTGATATATTATGTACTTGTCAGTGCCACATTAATAGAATGTTATATGATATCCCAGTTGACTCATAATATCAATTTTATTTTTTATGGGATCATAAAAATGATGTGACATGTAACCCACAGATTTGTATTAAGCCCCCAAATACCTGAATTTTCTACTGGTACTCATGACTACTGTTAGTTGCATAAACTATACATAGTATATAATGTAGAAACTCTAACAATTCAATATGTGAAGTTAAAATGAAAATGATTTGGCTTTACCCCATTTCTGCTAATATTTGTTTCAGTCTTTTTTCGCCTTTAATAGTCCAAAGTTTCAAAGATACTGCTGTAAACATTGAATATCGAAGACTGCATTCAATTGTCCAATGTCTGTATAAAGCCAATAGTAGACTGAAAATTGGTAATTAATAAATTAATTATATCATATTTTAGTAATATATGCTTAACTCCAAATAGTTTACTCTTTTTCGGATTCAATTCGAAGATGTGTAGAAGTGTTTGAGGTTTTAGGCATTGAAGACTGTGACATATTATCTTCATCGTCATTAATAACTGTGGAATCACAAATACGACCAATGTGCCCAGCTATTAATTCTACTTCTCTAAGATAACGCATACGTTCTATCTTGCCCAAAATGTATTGTTCAGTCACACCAACAATTCCCCACCTGATAAAAATGAAAAAATTCATAAATCATTAAATAATAAAGATAGAATAATGTCTAAATAAATTATTTACCACAATAAATCAACAGATTCTCTGTGTAATTTCCAAGCAAGATCAAACATTAACATTGCAGCCTATTAATCAAAAATGCATATTTTAAAATGAGGAAATATTTCAGAACATTAAAATATATATACCGAACGCCCATAATACGAAAATTGAGTATAATCGAATAACAATTTTTTTCTATTTTCTTCCCACCTTCTTCTTTCCCTTCTTTTAACTAGTGTGCTTTGATCAAGTTTTCTTCTTTTGTTTTGTTGTTCTTCAACGCTATTTACATTAACAATATCAGATTCTTCTTCATCCAGGTCATCAGTATCGATATCTTCGTCTGATGACTAAACATATAAAACATGTAGTATTACTCTAATTAATAAACAAAAAAAAAATTACTTCATTCTCGTTAAAAATGTCTTCAAAATCAGGAATTTTTTCTTCATCATCAGGAGGAGTTAGAACTCTAACCTGAAATATAATAAACAATTTTAAAATATAGTTTCAAATACAGCGGGAACCTCTATAAATCAAATTTTCGATAACTCAAAGGAATACCTAAACCCTCACCTTACAATATATATATATTATTAAGATTCCACTGTATTTGTAACATAAAGATTCACATGAAATAAAATACCTGAGAACTACTATAAATGTTGCATATATCTGTAGGTCTATGACTGTCAACAACAAAAAACGTAATATTTTCCTCTGGTTCTAATATTTCTATTATATCTAAAGTACCACCACAGTTGATTAACACAACATATTTTACCTGAAAATATTTAATATTTAAACACATGAGGTCTTGAAAAAAAATAATTCTTAAGTGCTTACATCAACTTTTTGTTCTTCAAAAGCTTTTTTTAACTCTGTAACAGTTTTTACTGGTACAAGTACATAAACTATGTTGTCAAAACGTAATATGCACTGAAGTATTTTCACAGCACAAATTGCATCCACATCATAGTTAACCAAAATCAAAATTTTCTACAAAAGAAAAAATGTATGAACAATTAATACTATCATAATTAACCTATTAACATAGTTCAGTAAATAATATTATAATAATTTAATAATTTAAAAAATAAAATATAAACATGAATGGGAAACATATACTGATTACTTAAAAAGATTAATTAATTTAATAAGCTTGTGCAAAAGTAATTAATGTATCCATCAGATATTTTTACTTATTACAAAACATTAATCTTATAAATAATGTAGACATTTTATATACTAAAGTGTTTTAAATTTAATAATTGGAAAAAAAATACATATATACATTAAGTAATTAAATTATGTAAGAAATAATTTTAATTAATTTATAAATTATAATAGTTAATAAATAATAATATTTAACAATATATATATACTTACGTTTTTTGAAATAATGTCATAAAATCCTTTGACTAAATCTTCAACAAACATCTTAGAATAATTAATGTAGAAATCCTTTGAAATCAAAACAATAAATAATTATTTTTTAATAAGAACACTAGATTGTTTATATAAAATTGACTAATAAACTAATTTTATATTGAAAAATACATATAGCTATTATGCCTAAATAACTTATGTTAATGTATAATAAAATGTTTTATTCATAGATTATTGTTATAGAAAAATTAAAACTTTTTAATGACTGCACTTCGGTAATTAATAGGCTGCCTGCCGATATTTTGATTCTATTTTCGTACCATAACTATTTAGTATTAAGTTGTGGTTTATTTTTGACTTTTGTTATTTGTTACTTATAATTTTAAATTAATGAACTACCTACTATTTTTGAAACGATAAATGGGTAGATTTAAATGAATATAAAATATTGAAATGTAAATAATTACAGGTACAAATTTATTAAGAAGATAATAATTTGACAACGAAATTTATTATTTTATAAAATATTTAGTTAATACTTATGTTTGTTTGATGACATAGAAATTCACCTATGAAGAAAACATAGACCGATGAATTCCCAAGTGTTGTTTATCCTGCTCTCTAGCCGATTTCCATAAACGTTCAATATTTTGAATATGTGCTCCACTAAACGGATCTAAAAAATTATATTTTAGATTGACCTGCATAATGATATAAATTGTTACTAAACAGATTGGAGTATGATAAACCTAAAATATACTAGAAGATCTCACATTCTTTCACAAATAGACCACTCTAGATACATAATATCAAATGCAGTTGAGGCTGAAGGTCAGAAGCGTTAGTGACTTGGCTATAAATATATATAATATATTATTTGATAAAACTAAACTTAGATAGTTTGTTTATTTGTGATGACAGGTAGATTTTTTTTTTTGCTACAAGCTTAATATATTATGTTCTTATTCAATCAAATACAATTCAGTTTAAATTTTAACTGAAATAACTATTTAAAAAAACATGAAAGCAGATATCATTTGAATCAGTGTCTGGACATAACATTAGGCAAAATTTAAATAAATTATAAGTAATGAGCTTCTTAATTTTAATTTTATATTTTTTGGTATTTCTGATTTTGTGGGATATATTTTAACTTTTAATTTAAAACTGTCCATAGTTTTTTCATTAAAAACTTAAACATTTTGAATAGATAATTTTAAATATTGGTATACTTAATTCAAAGTCTTATAGAAAATTCAAAATGATAGATAAGTTAAAATAGGTATTCACTATTAATGATCAAGAACATGATCAACTAACTATGTAGATATCTATTAGTTTAAATTATAAATTTAAAACAAGTTATCAATATAATAATGGTACCAATATAAATAATTGTTTATATAAAACTTTTTAAATCGTTTCTTCTGGTTTGTTCTTAATATTTTTATACTTAACACAATTCAAAGTGAATAGCTACCTCCTTAACGAAGTTTCTCAGTTTCTTCTAAAAATATCATCACGTAATAAAGCAAAAGTGCCAGTATTAATAGGAAGCACTCGTCTTTATTTCGATGGATGATATTCAATAACAGCATCGTTCAATCGCATCTGATCATGAAAATATGAAAAACTATCCAAATTATGGAGTTAATAATTTAAAATCTGTACGGTATACGGTTTTGGTTACAATAATACTAATTACAGTAAAACACAATAACAAATAAATTAAACTAAAAACACTATGTAATCCGATGATGGTTAATAAACGAGGGATCGACAACTGACCAACTGACACGGACAAAAAATGTCAATAATTATTATTGCTATRAGCCTACGAAGTACGAATTACGGTAGTCAGATAGTCGAAGTTTTCGATAATGAAGAATAACAACAATAACAAAAGGAAAAAACGAACAAATTCGCGGTATAACCTTAAATAAAAATAAAAAACTGAGATAAAAAATTTTGATTTACTTCTTGGACCATATTTAATACTAATCGACTAGCGTTTAAGTTACTCATTTCTTTAAAGTTTTCAAGCATCATGAGATTTTATTAATACACTAATTCGCACTTGTAAAAGTTGAAACTTGTTAGCTTATAATAATTCATAGCGAGGATTCGAGTTATCTAAAATAGTTATCATTATCAATTGATAAGAATCATTGAAATCTGCATCTGTTCGGGGGTCAGTGACCATGCGCGTGTACCCGCCATTTGGCCAGGGTTCGCTACTGTAAGGGCACAAAACATGGTAGTATGACTGTACGCAGCACTGCACTACTGCAGCAGCAGTTTTTTTCTGTCAATATCTCTTTGTTGGGGTTCAAAAACTATAGGGGGGTGAGACTTCTAGAATCTAGACTTCTACTATTTGTAATAAATGTTTTTTGCTATCATTAGACAACTAAACTGGATTCGTTTCAATATTTTAAATCTCTAAAAAAACCAATGCTAAATAAACGAATTATAGTTGTCATAATAAAAAGTATAATTAAAATAATTAATAAAAATTAACAGAGATTTTTTTTTGGGTATTTAATATTTTTTTCTTATTGTAAAATTATATTGTTCATAATATTGTATTGAAAAAATGGAGTAGTTATGATGTTATATACAATTAATTATAAATCTTTAGAATTGTAATTATTCTGCATCTATTTAACATCTATTTTAACGGCTGCAGGCCATTTTAAATCATCACCAGGCCACAAAACTGCTAGATTGCTGTTGATGACATTTTATGACTTTATGTGTGTGTTTGATGGTTTAGACTCCTAATTGAATCAGGTAGAACGATTTACGAGAGATTTTTTTGTATTTAAACGGTTTCCAAGATGAGGGTATAAGTGGTAAAAGTATGCATCAAATCAATGCGTTTAAATAAACACATAAAATAAAGATTTATTATTTTAATTAAGAATAATTTTAGGTTAAAATCTCAATAAAGAAAAAAAAATAATGAAATTTTGTCTYAATAAACATAAGAGAGTTAAATGTATGTTTGTAACATTGTAGCTTATATATACAGAGTATCCCGTAACCGTAGGGTATACTTATCATCCGTAGAGGGGGACTCGCCGAGTCATCAATAAAATTAAAAATTATTAAAAATCATGTTATTAATGAAAATAAAATGTTGAATGGTCAACATTTTCATTAAGATAAACTCTATAAAATAGGAATCTTTATTTTTTTGAAAAATAAAAAAATAAAATATAAGTAGCCTCTGTCTATGCGAGTCCAATAAAAAAAATAATATGATATTCATTATTTCATGAATCCTCGAGGGACACTCAGTACATAGGTACTCAAAAACTACTTAACTGATTTTGTGAAAATTTCAAATTTCTCTTGGGAATATCAGGAAAGATTAGAGTAATTTGAACTACATAAGACGTATACCAAATACTATACACACATCGCAAGCAAATTGTCAATCACGGTAAAATTCGTACACAACATGAAGTATACCAACCCAATTTTTTCACGCAAACTGAGGTACACCAACAATCTAAAACCAAGATACGCCAGCTACACCTATATATATTTTATCTTGGCCGAAGTCGAGTTATATAACTATAATTAATGGAGGTTGATGATTGCATCCGAAGTAAAAAAAAGCTCAACAATTACTGGACCATTTTTAATACAACTTGTATTAATGGACTCCTAGGACCTTGATACTTGATACTTAAAGCTTATTTTATCAATCTCTATAGGCGACTAAAGAATAACTCACAGTTCATACATACATTTTTTCTAGTTCATGAAAATATAAATACAAATTTCTTTTGCATAAATGCAAAAACMTAGGATAAGTATGAAAATGGGCTGTAGGGCTGTAGCTCATAAGAGCAAAATATGACTCAAACACGACCCAAAAACGCAAAAATAAATAACCCATAAGCGCAAATCAATTTTAAAAAATGTTTATTTTATTAAAATCGTCGTTATTATTAATATTTAATTAAGCATTTACAGTGATATTGAAATTAGCTTGAAAAATTAGTAAAAATAAAAATAATAATTTTGAGCATTATTTTAAATTAGTTAAACAAGTCTCATAAATAAATAAATATATTAAAATTAAACTAATATAATAATGAGTAGGTACCTCAAAAATAAATTTAAAATTTGAAGCCAACTGTTATCAAGTATTCTAAATCTGGAAATTATTTTCTTTATACTAGGTCTAAATTTATGTATTGCAGATGACTATACAGACTATAGACTTACAATTTATTTTTGCGCTTTTGAGTTATCGAAAAAAAAGATTGATTTGCGCTTTCAGGTTTCACCGTGAAAATGACTCAAATCAATAATTATATTAACATTGTAGGTTAAAGTTAAAAACTTGTTTTCTTACACTCACAACTTATAAGTGCTGGAGAATGATACCTGAGCCAATATAAAAATTATGCTATTACCTTCCTCCAGAGTCCAGGTATTTAGAGGGCTCTCGAGATTGTGAATTTGATCAAATATATCTTATTATATAAATATGTGATACACTRATGTTTTGCTCGTCGTAAGGAGTCTAGTGGTCGATCGTATAACATTCGGTATCGAGAGGTTTGTTACTGAGATGACTGGTGCTCATGCATTAGCTAAACGAGGGGTCAGGAACCTTTTCGTAGAAAAGAGCCATTTCTTTTAAAAATTTACTAAACCATGATGTTCAGACAGCTGCACAGGTTGTTTGATCCAGGAATCTAACAACCTTATTTTTGTAGTCTTAGTTGAAGTGTTTTGCCATTTTTTAAAATAACAATAGTCTTGATATATTGATGTATTTTTCAGAGAGCTACGAYTATACGTTAAAGAGCCGCATGCGGCTCTGGAGCTGCAGGTTGCCGATCCCTGGGCTACAGGGAGAACACGGATATGGTAACCAAAGAGARGTAGACAGCCTTGTCAAAATATTTCTATGTGCAACTGGGAAGTAGATTTCTCATCGGCAGCAAAGACCTTTTCCGACAATAAAATATTTTCTCTGGCGGAATATAAGAAAGCCACACGCTTTACCGTTGCTTTTAAAAAGTGCCGATTTCTTATTTTTTTGTGATCGTAGAATATAGAATCGTATATTTTTGTCTACGGCAATGGTTTCATTGGGGATGTCCAATTTCCATACATAGGCGCC